TTAATATTCTGTCCTAGAATGGAATAGCCCCTTTTTTTTGAGCACCTGCCCCTTTAGTGGTCTCTGCACGGCCCTGAACAGCATGAATTAACACTTTTGTGTGTCTGTTGGTAGCAAGGAAATTTGTTGATGGTCCCTAAGTGAACCAACGAGAGCTTGAAGAGGGAGCGGTAGAAAACGGCTGGCCGAAATAAGCGTTCATAAATCGGATCAATGATGAGCTAAACGCCGCTTACTCCGCGGAGCTCGACTATCTTATATCCAACTTGAAACTAACTTCACTGCGGTCTTCAGCTGCGGGGAACCCACCCCATGAGAGCCGAGCGACCCAGACCAAGGTGGCCGAGGCCCCGGGAAGCCTCGGTGGGTTCATCAGTTGGAAAGGCTCCAGAGAGACACGGAGGGACCCGGAGCGGCAACACTTACCTCTGTTAACAAGTCAGACCGTTATTTCCATCCTGAACTCAACATGGAGGCTGATATGAAGAAGGAAAAAAGTTAATTTCAGTTTCTATTTTCACAGACAGTCACGTGACTTCTTCGACGTTAGCAATCAAAGTTTGATTCAACTGAATAAATATTAACAGTTCAGAAAGATTTTAGAGCGAAAGAAAACTAGAAGAAAGTCAGAAAACATCAATATTTCTGTTTTAAATGCTGCTGTAGTCAGGACTTTGACTACAGTTCCCATGAGCCTCTACAGGAAGTCACAAAGGCTGATGGGAAACGTAGTTTCTCTAAACAGCAGAAACTAACCGACCTGCTCAGATTTTCTGCCTCGTTCAGTTAGAAATCTTGTTTAAACAGAAATAGAAACATTCAAAAGCGGAAGAAAATAAGATTAAAGTAGTGAAAAACCTAAATTACAGTGAAACAATGCAGGAGAAAACTACAAAACTACAGAATCTTATTTACTAATGAATGACATTAACAGGACAAAATCCAGATTCTGAACTCATCACATTATAATCAGGTCTAAAAACAGTAAAATGGAGCCACTGGTTGGATGGAAGAGACCAGATTCAACTAGGAACAATAAACCAGTGAGATCTACTGGGAGGACTGGTGAGAGACGAGTCGTTGGAGCCNCAGAGGGAGGAAACTCCACTGCTGATTGGCTGATTCAGATGCTGCTGAACCGGTTCTGATCCAGGTCAGTTCTGAGGAAAGGAGGGGAGCTTCAGTTTCCTCATTCAGCAATGAAGCTATGAGTAGGTCAAAGGTCAGGAGCTTCAGTTCCCTGATGAACCAATAGTAGAGTCATGGATTCTGTTTCCTCTTTTATCTGCTTACAGTCACTGCTGCTGCTTACATAACCATAATCACATAGACTGGCGACATTCACACATAAACAAACTGAAACTGATTAACTACCTTTAGGGACCAGACTGAGGAGAATAAAAGCTAAACTCTACAATCTTTGTCTCACCTGGTTCCACCAGGAGCTCAGTGTTTCCCAGGCTGGACGGTGAATGTAACTCTGGTTCTGATCCATTTGGATGACATGTATGGCTTGTAACACTTGATCATTTTCAGCATTAAAGCCTGTTTTTATAAATAACTACATCTCTTTATTTCTCAAGGTGATTTACACTGAGGGG